CATTATTCCACCTACTTGTGTTCAACGAAGATTGTATTAACTCTGTTGTTGCATTATTCCATGTACTTGTGTTCAACGAAGATTGTATTAACTCTGTTGTTGCATTATTCCATGTACTTGTGTTCAGCTAACATTGTATTAACTCTCACAGAAGCAAGAAGTGATAGTTGCATTCAAGGGAATAATCCAATAAAAACAGACCATTTGAACAGTTAAAACTGTAACTGTATCAAAACATTACCTGTATACTGACTACTTTTAAGGTCTATTATATAATATTTGTGCCAAATATAGAGTTAATACAATGTTAGTTGATCACAAGTATGTGGAATAATGCAACAACAGAGTTAATACAATGTTAGTTGATCACAAGCAGATGAGATAATGCAACAGCAGAGTTAATACAATGTTAGTTAACACAAGTAGGTGGAATAATGCAACAACAGAGTTAATACAATGTTAGTTGAACACAAGCAGGTGGAATAATGCAACAACAGAGTTAATACAATGTTAGTTGAACACAAGTAGGTGGAATAATGCAACAACAGAGTTAATACAATGTTAGTTGAACACAAGTAGGTGGAATAATGCAACAACAATTTTTTTTTCTGTGGTTTTACAGTTTTCTAGATGACTCTTTCCGTAAGAACCTTGAAAGTGCTCTGCGGTTTGGAAATCCACTTCTTGTTCAAGTAAGCATCTTATTACAGTTGTCATTAGATTATTTTCTATAGTTTGTGTTGATGTATTTTCATTCTAAAATTCAGTATCATAGTTTCTGAAGTTACGCTTGTTTTTTAAGAGATACGTCCTTAACTTACGAACAGTATGAAGTTTTTAAACAGCTATTTGTGGAATAATAGATTTATATCTGTACAACATTTTGTCTCTAGCAGTGAGACATAATCACATACAACATTTAAGGCACAAGACATGTATGCCTATGGTGCATAAACTGTGTGTGGGGGATATGGAGAGCCATGGGGGACACGCAACTATGACTATGGGAGCATACAAGTTGCATCTAAAAGTACAACGTTAGAAATAAAAAAATGTTTGAAACTACTGTACAAATATTATTACTATTATGTAATATAGTAACAACAATTAACATGGGGAAATAACATGTACAGTATCGGGGGTGTGGGTCTGTGGGGGTAAACAAAAACACATGCTTAGAAAGAAAAGGTGTCATAAGAAGTTTGCACCCTACTGCTCTAGGCTTCCATATGCTACCATCTAGTGTATGTAATAGGTGTTAAACTAACCAGTGCTTTTGTATGTTAGCTTTTTTTCAAAACAACAAAGTTAATAAAAAATGGCTTCATTTTATGCACTTTTAAAAATAGTAACAATATAAAATATAACTGGTCAGTTGAACCTGCTGAAACACATCTTTATTTGAAAACAAAAATGGACATTCATAAAGAAATTTCACTTTCCAACAGTAAATATTTTATATAAATTTAAATAGGACGTAGAGAGCTATGATCCCATCTTAAATCCTGTACTGAACCGAGAGGTCAGGAAGACTGGAGGTCGTGTGCTGATAACTTTGGGTGACCAGGACATTGATTTGTCTCCATCTTTCTGTATTTTCCTTTCTACCAGAGACCCAACAGTAAGTAATCAGAATTCGAATTTTTTAGTATTATTTCTTGATTTTGGTGCTATTAAATTATGAACTTTTTGAGCTTCACAAACAGTTGACAGGTAGAGGGTTTTATTTACAACAACATTTATTTGATCTTTTGTTCACAAGATAACTGAAAAAAACTTCTGTATAACATTTATAAAATACCTAGATTTGTAAATCAGTGCCAGTGCATTAGGTAGTTTTTATTTTTCGTTTGTCAAATAATTTAAACTCAGCATATCAAAGTTAAATTATTTTATACTTTTTTTGTTTTTATATTCGTAGGCCAACTTGAAACAAAATTAATCAAAAATGCATAGTTTTGAATATATATACACTCTGAGAAATCTGGACTATTTTTTACTTTAAAAATAATCCTGTTTTTTAGATTTTATCATAAAACAATATTATGACTAGAATTTTAGTTTATTGTATTGGTTGTACACAGGTTTGCATATAGATATTTTATTTTGGATATTATTTTTCTCTTTTGTAAAATTCTAAAATACATTGAATATTAAGTAATAAATCAATTTATGCATCTCTTGTCAATTACTTGTATCTTAAGAAATAAAACTGACAGAACTGTATCCGTGAAATTGGAGTTGTTTTTTTTCTTTTCTTCTACAGGTTGAGTTTCCACCAGACATATGTTCCAGAGTGACGTTTGTTAACTTTACTGTTACTCGCAGTAGTTTGCAGAGTCAGTGTTTGAACCAAGTAAGCCTTTTTATTATATAAGCTCAGTACAGGTGGCAGTTGAGAAACATAGAAATAAAATAAATTAGCAGATGTAAATAGTGAAAATACTTTAGAGAAATAGTTTTCGTATAAAATATTTTGGACAGTATGTATACATTGCAGATTTTAAATATATCCAGGTTGTCTAGAAACTGTATTAACAAAATGTATTAACACTGAATGCGATAAAGCTCCTGTTTGGCCTGTTTCATACTTCTTTGATACTTTCGACATGCTGCATCGTATTTCTGTTAGTCTAATAGAATACTATCAAAACAGAGGTACGTGAAAAAACAACAAATATATAAATTACTATTTTTTTATAGTGAAATTAACTGATATAATTGCTGTCTAATTTTGCAGGTCATGATTTTTTTTATAAAAAAAAAGCTTTTGCAGTGCTTTTAATAAACACATGTTAGAGCCTAATAGTTTTAAATTTAATTGAACCAAAATTTTAGCAGAACAGTACAGATTTGTTTACTTTAATTCAACAACAGCTATGTGTTTCTCGATGATCGTGTTAATAATTTCCCACAGCATGCTTCCTACTTCTTTGAACATGGAGTTGTATGCTTGTATTGAAATTAACTTGGTAGGTGCCATCGTTTCTACGTTAAGTTTAATTTCTGTTAATTTCAGGTTCTTAAAGCTGAACGACCTGACATTGATGAGAAGAGGTCTGACTTGCTAAAACTTCAAGGTTTGTTTCCTTTTTTTGTTGGGAATACAAATTTTATTGGATTTAATTATAGTGTTATACAGCTACATTTTCTACCCCCAATAAGTTATTGCTCCATTAATGAAATAAAATAAAAATACAATATCAGTATATTGTAATATTGTATAAGTAAATTTAGTGTGGCAAGTTTAATAAACAGCATTGAGTTTATTTTAGGATCATAGTCTAAGGAATTAATTTGATTATAATTCATTTAATTTGAACATAAGGTTTTACACACTTAAAAAGAAAATTGGAAGTTGTCTGGCTCGATTTCACTGAAATAATATCATTGAATGATTAGAATTGATTATTTTTCAAAGTAGCTGTTATATTACAGAAATTAGTGTGTACAGAAAGATTTTAAAAAAAGTTTAATGTGCTAACTAATCAGCAGTGAATTGTAATTAGCCTAATTGGCCACAATATTGATTAATTGTTTTAGCTCATTAATAGATGATAATTGGCACCAATTACTATAGAAGCAGATAAAGATAAGAAATTTTATTTTTATAGGTGGGCCATGTAAATAAAAGTAAGGTATTTCTTTTAAATATTCATTGATCTGATTAGGCAACATTATAGTAATTTTCATTGATCTAATGAGGCCACATTACAGAGATGATCCTTAAAAAACGTAATGATGATTAGATTTCATAAAATGGATTAATGGGATTTTAACTGTTCTGTAATTGTGAATTATTTTATTTTGAGTAATAAATATACATGTGCACATCTTAAATTTTTTAATAGTGTTCTCAATCCTGGGAAATAACTTACTGAAATATAGTTTAGATAGTAGGGGAAAAAAGTTTTATCTTTCAAGTCTCCTACAGAGGATTGCAACAAGTATTTAACAATAAAACTTTTTTCCCCACTATCTGAGCTATATAACATTCTTTAGTTGCCTTAGACGCACATTGAACTCTCCTACAGAAGATTGCAACAAGTATTTAACAATAAAACTTTTTTCCACCACTATCTGAGCTATATAACATTCTCTAGTTGCCTTAGATGCACACTGAACTCTCCTACAGAAGTTCAATGTGCGTCTAAGGCAACTAGAGAATGTTATATAGCTCAGATAGTGGGGAAAAAAGTTTTATTGTTAAATACTTATTACAATCCTCTGTAGGAGACTTCAATGTGTGTCTAAGGCAACTAGAGAATGTTATATAGCTCAGATAGTGGTGGAAAAAAGTTTTATTGTTAAATACTTGTTGCAATCCTCTGTAGGAGAGTTCAATGTGCGTCTAAGGCAATTAGAGAAGAGTCTGTTACAAGCACTGAACGATGCCAAGGGGCGGATCTTGGATGATGACAGGTAAGAATCATTAAAATGTTTTCTATGATCAGAAAAGCAAGATTATAACAAAATCACATGATATCCATTTCTCGTTGTGATCTAATGCAAATTTTAGTTGTTAAACGAATGTTAGAAAATGAAGCGGCATTAGTAAATTTCTATTGATATTTCATATAAATGGGAAAATTTCTGCTAATAGTGTAATCAGCACGTTGGAAAAACTGAAGCACGAGGCAGCAGAGATATCAAGGAAGATGGAAGAGACCGACCAAGTTATGACTGAAGTAGAAACTGTGTCACAGCAGTATATGCCTTTGTCCCAAGCCTGTAGTAGTATTTACTTTACTCTGGAAGGCCTACACCAGGTATCTTCATATTTAGTATATATATCAAACTATTTTTTTTATTACTTGCTTCTTTGGTTATATACATTCAAAATACATGGTTTTATTTCAATTTTGAAACTGAGTTCAGTTAATTAAAGAGTTTCAACAATATTTGTTTCATAATAACCAAGAAGTAATGAATAACATTCTAATAATCTAGAGCTAAACAGTAAGACACTTTGGTTTCTACAAAAATATGGACTTGCATGGCCATACAGTTAGGGAGCTCAACTCTCAATCTGTAACTTGTGGGTTCAAATACCATCACTAGACATGCTCCCCCTCTCAGCCATGGGGGCATTATAATTTGATGGTCATTCCCTCTATTTGTTAGTAAAGAGTAGCCCAAGAGTTGGCAGTGGATGGTGTTGATAAGCTGCCTTCCTTCTAGTCTATCACTTAAATTAGAGATAGCTTTTGAGTAGCTTTGCACAAAATGTAATAGAGAAACAAAATCTACAAAGATAGATTACATAGAGTTTGGTTTTATTTTATTTGTTTACTATTGCTGTCAAATATTATTTTTGTTAGTTTTGTTTTGTTGGTCTTTCCACAGATTTTTGAGTTATTTCTTCCTATGTTAATATAGAAATCATTGACCCTTTTTTTTCCTGTGTTTCAACATTTTAAAACTTTTGTGGCTTGCAGACAAATTCATTCCATCGATAGGTTCACTCCTTGTATCCATATTCATTCCATTCTCTTTTTTTTTAGGTCCACTTCCTATATCAGTACTCCCTGCATTTCTTTCTGGACATTTATAATGATGTCTTGACCAACAATCCAGGTCTGACTGGTGTAACAGATTCTAGCACTAGACTGTCCATAGTCACAACAGATTTCTATCAGGTAATTTTAAATATTCTCTTCTTGAATGTGTAAACATCTAACGTATTTATCACTTAATATACTGTTTTAACTTTATATGTGTGGTGTAACTTTTTATTTTTAATTTTTTTTAAAGAGAAAAGAAATGAGACTTCTTGTTGATGTTCATTTCCTGTAGAACTCGTACAGGAATAAGTTGTGGTAAAGGTACAAGTGAAACTTAAAGTAAATAAGGAGTTTAATGTTTCTTATTGTCATTGAATTATCTCACTTATAAATGTATAAATTAAATAAAGATTCGCTTTAAGAATATCTCTGTGTTCTTAACAGACTGTGTACAATCGAGTAACAAAAGGAATGCTCCATCAAGATCGTCTTGTGTTTGCTTTGTTGCTGAGTAAAATACATTTGAGAGGAGTTTCTAGGTAACACAAGTTTGTTATTAATAGATGTATGTAGTTTCAACATAGACTTTGTATTGTAGTGATACAAACTTTTTAAAGTAGTTTTGTGTTAGATTAAGTAGCACTGTGGTGTATTACATGAACATGTGTTTATTGATTAATATCTACATATCTTTGGTCTTTTGTTTGTGGTGAAATGAAGTAGGACAGAAGTGTGTAATTTTTATTTGAGACCTTTAGCAGTTTATATGTATATTATGACAGTTGATTATTAATTAAACATTTATCATATTAGTGCAGACACTAATGTAATAATAGGTTCATGAATTTCTTAAATTTTAAACCAAATTTAAAAAATTAATCTGTTTTAGTTTTTGGCTTATTTTCCAAAATACCTTTTTGATTTGTTTTTCAAAATTGTCATATCTAAGAAATTAGCCAGAGGTTTATGGTTTGGAATATTTTCTCATACACGTACAGTTAGCTAATATTATGTACTTCGTGTTGTTTTATAATATCTCTCTAATTTTCAGTGAGCCAAACTTTGAACATGAATTTAACCATTTCCTACGAGGAAAAGAAGGAATCTTACCTGGACAACCCACGATTCATGTACCTGGATTAAGTTTAGACCAATTAGAAGGAGCCACAGCTCTCTCTAGACTCCCAGCCTTCAGAAACCTACAGAAGAAGATAGATGCTGTTGTCGTAAGTGTTCATTGGTCACAGCATTAGTAAAGTTCATTGTTTATAGACTTTTCTCGTGTTTACAAAGAATCTTTAACCCATTCAGTGCACTGTGAAATATATGTTCCAGCTATAGAGGAAAAGGGTTAAGAAACAATAACTGTGATTTTAATCACTTACTGTATCGACCAATAGTGCTAAACTTCAATAATACCAGTAGTAAATACACAGAAATGTTGGTTAAAGATTGGTTCTGTCATATAAAATTTGAAGTTAAGATGGCTACTGGGGGCGTTATAATGTGACGGCAATCCCACTATTCGTTGGTAAAAGAGTAGCCCAAGAGTTGGCGGTGGGTGGTGATGACTAGCTACCTTCCCTCTAGTCTTACACTGCTAAATTGGGGACGGCTAGCGCAGATAGCCCTCGTGTAGCTTTGCGCGAAATTCAAAAAACAAACAAACAAAATAAAACACAGATTTTGGAATTCTACAGATTCCATTTTCAATATCTGAAGCAAAATACATGCATCATTCTTTAGTAAATAACTAAAATACATTAAAGATAATTTAATCAAAACTAAAACACGTAGAAAGTGAAGAAGTAACAAATAAAAAAATACTGTACATATTAAAAAAATGTGCAATTTAAAAGAAGATTACATGTTATTCAGTGTTGGTGAAAGTTGTTTAATGTGGAGGGTTTCTTTAATTCCAGATCAGAGTTGGCCTTGCAAAGGGTTTTGAAATTTGATAAGTTTATGCCCTATTTCTTCACTACATTGGTGTATAGAGGAAGCACAGGGGTTACTCAATTTTTTTTGTGTGTTTTCATGGAAACTCCCATATGTTCATTGGCTCTAACTAGTAGATGGTGTTTGATTTGCCAATATAAGAGGCCTTACAGTCTCCACACGTGTAAAAATATACAAGCTACAAACAGAGAAAAAATAGGAAAAGGTCATTAGTAGTACAGAAGAAATCTTGTAGTTGTATTTGAAAGTTTTTCATCTTCAAAGTTGTTTAAAAAGTACAACTAATTGCCATTTAATGTATTAAACCAATTATTAACATATTGATTTTGACCTCAAAATTTGCTTAATTTGAACCTT